AGAACGACAATAAGTGAATTAACTAAAGCGTCATATATTATGACGGATACTTCCCCACTATTGCTACAGCCTCTAATATTCACCATGACTATTTTAAGTTCGATGAATATCGGAGTACAAACTTTGAGTATGGCAAAAGTACGAGATAGCTGGCTGCATTCTGCGCCTTCTTCACCATAAAAAATTGCTAACGTGGGGACTGCTTTACATGCTTGGAAGCATGCTCAATTTGCTACAAATAAAGGCCATATTATTGATATAAAGGTACAGATCAATAGGTTCTTTGAGGTCCTATGACATCCGCAGAAGTTTATTGAAAGCAACACTTACGTGTTAATTGGCTAGCCCATGGTGATTGATACATCGTATTTCCATGCTCGCTCTTCAAACTGGCACAGATGTAGCACAATCAAGGGGATCTATTCGGAAACTGGTGTATAGGTTGATAACTTGAATGATATTCAAGCTACAGCCCTGGAGTACTTTCAATCGAAATTTATGACATCTTGTCCTCCTCCAGATAACATGCTAGCCACTATCACACCGGCTGTTACAAATCAAATGAATAATTGCCTACTTGATGTATTTACCAAAGACGAGGTTCATGCTGCTTTCTTTCAGATTCATCCCCAAAAAGCACCAGGAATTGATGGCTTACCAGGGAATTTTTATAGATTTTTTTGCCACTAATTGGTGATGATGTAATTATTTTTTTGTTTAGAACTCCTCCATGGCCGAGAATCAATGGCTGATGTAAATCTCACTGTGTTGGTGCTAATTCCTAAAGTAGTTGAATCGATTGCATTGTGCACTGTTATTTATAAAATTATCGCCAAAGTCCAATATTTGCTTCTCTCAATCTACACCGATGTGGTTACAAACCAATCTTAGCTCTATTACAGAGGTTTCTTCTGTACCGGATCCGGGTATGTATCTTGGGATGCCTTTACTTATTGGTAGAAAACTAGAGCATTTGGATTTCTTCATGATAAAGTGTATTCAAAAGTTCAAGGCTTGACAAAGAACTTGATCTCTTATAGAGGTCGTGCAGTTTATATAAAAGCTGTGGGACAGACATTGTCAACATATGAAATGGGTTACTATTTAATTCTGGATGGTGTTTTATCGGATATCATTGCTTCCGTCCGGGCTTATTGGTGGATGGGAGAATCTTCATCTCGGGGATGGCCTCTCATTGCTTGGTAAACACTTTGTTGACCAAAAAGAATGAGGGTCTTGGCTTTCATGACCTTCGACTATTTAATATGGCAATGCTTGGCAAACAATTGTGGAGGATAATGTAACATCCTCTAGAGTCTTGTGGCTCGTATATAAACTGCGAAATATTTCCCATCGGGTCGCGTTCTTCAGTCCTCTATAGGTGATCACCCATCGTTTGCGTGGATGAGCTTGTTTAAAGCCATTCAAGAGCTCCGCAATGGATTCCAATTGCGTGTTGGGATAAACAGTCAGGTTCCCATGCATGGTGCTACGTGGGGTGGTGTCTACCCAGTTCAATTTGAGGCTTGCTACACAAATAGTTCAGAGCAGCCGATATTATGTGGGGATTTTATACTAGATGTCCCTTACTGAAATGTTCCTCTTTTTCGACAAGTTTTTACAGCTTCTGATGCGGATGCGATTCTTCAGTGTGCTATCTCCCCCATTCAATCGGATGTGCTTATTTGGAGTGGCCATTCTGCAGGTACATACTCGATCCGCTCCAGTCATAGATGGCTTGTTCACTGTCAATTGCCAACGATTGACGCATCCAGGCTTTGGTTATTTCTTTCGAGATTACACACGCTTCCTCAAGTTCGTATATTTGGATGGCGTGCTGCTCATGAGGCATTACCAGTTGGTTGTTGCCTTGCACATGTCGGTGCTCTTGAAGTACAATGTTGCTTATACGGAACTCCGAATGAAATAGTCTCCTATGCTTTGCGGGATTGCTCGATGGTTTCTCCAATCCTGACAGCGGCTGGATTCATCCGAGTGTCGGATACACAGAGCTTCTCCTCTTTTGGTGCATGGTTAGAGAACACGATGCCCAACTTGACTGTTCACCAATCCATTGCACTTTTGATATTGCTCTGGAAGATATGGCACCATAGGAACTTGTTTTATGAATGTCATCTATTACCAGGTTGGAAATTGATTGCTTCGGCTAATGCTCTTCAATCGGCATCCTCCTCTGCTATGGCTACAACATCATCATCGTCGACTGCTTTACGCTCGGGTCTTTCCATTCAATGTTGGCAGAAACCTTCCTCGAGTACCTTCAAGATTAATGTCGATGGTGCTTGTCCCCGTTCTGCGACGTGTCCGGCTGTAGGAGTTATAGTCCGTGAAAGTGTTGGTTCTGTTATAGCGGGTCAGGCACTCCCAGTCTTGGCGACGGGCACAGCAGGAATCATCGAAGCTATGGCAATTACTCGGGGAATTCGGCTCGCAGTGGAACTGGAGCTATCATCTGTTGTGGTCGAAAGTGACTCAATGAATGTAGTGCACCAACTTCAAAACCCAGCCAATGACCGATCTGTAGTCAGGTCAGGTTCTTTCTCCTTGAAGCACGCTAGTTATTGGATGCTCATCCGCACATCACCACTCGGTTTATCAGGAGAGAGGGCAACAGGCAACACATGCTGTAGCAAACTACGCCACAATGTCGACCGCGCCACTCTATTTTACTACTGTACTTCCGAACCGAGTACATGCCGATTCTATGTTTGCTTAATGAATACAGGTTACTCTTAAAAAAAGGATTAAAAAAAAGAAAATGATCATATTTTCTCAAAAAAAATTCTGAATATCAATGTCCTTCCAAAGGAAATCAAATATTATCTTAAAATTTAAAATTTCCAAAAATATTCAATGCAAAAAAATTTCTAAAAATATTAAATTATTATTTGTAAGGTACAAAATCTAAAACCCCTAAAACTGCAAATTGCTGTGAGTCTCGGTTCCTAATTCTGAATTCTTTTATTTTGTTTTTTTTTTTCGTAGTAGTAATAATCCGAGATGTTTAAAGTACGGCAGCTAAGGATGGTAAATGGACAGATCAGGTGCGGATACCCCCTCTCCTATTTATATATCCGTTTAATATTTTTAAATTCACCACTCATAATAGATAAAATTTTTCAAATCCATGATAGGTAAAATTTTTCAAATTCACACACGTCCACGCGAGTATATTTTCAAATTCATCCCTACACCTACTACCCAATTAGAGACATACCTGGCTAGACCATCTTGACAACAACTTTAAGTTATGCATAAGTAACAAATATAAAATAAACACATCAATTAAGAAGCATAATAAAATAAACCAAATATTATCTAAGTTAAGTGTTAACATAGATCTTAAAGTACATAAAACATCATAATAAAAGACATAATTAAAGCCTAGAAACATAAATGACAAACACATAATATTTTTATTCTTTTGCACAACATTCTCAAATTTTAGACAATACTTGTGACATCTGTTACTCTAATATTACAATCATCATTATCTATTTCCTCCAATTGAGAGCACTCCAATTTAAATTCACTACTACCTACATATATAATAGAAGGCAAAACTAATATAAGTTAGTAACTAAACTTTAATAAGATAATTAAACACGATTTGACAACTAACATAGACTAAATAATAATATTACTTTTAATATCGGCCCAAAACCAATTCTGAGCACACATTAATGCTTCAATCGTCTTCGAAAGTAGTCGACTATGCTAATGATCAATTACTCTTCCACATGTACTAAATGCATATTTTGATGAGACAGTGGAGACATGAATACTCAAAATATCATTTGTTATTTGTCGGAGAGTTAAATAACTATTTTCATTTGTTTTCCACCAGTTGAGAATATCAAAATCATCAACAAGTGGTATGTTGGTAGTTTCTAAGTACCTTTCTAAATCAGATTTTTTTTGAAATGGCATCATTATTTTGCTCTACAAATTCAACAAACTCGTTCAACATTGTTCATTTGGTTAAATTATCCATAATATTTGGTTAAATTATAAGTTATATTTTATACAATATTAAAATTTATGAATTAGTCTCTAAAATTATACCTAAATTCATAATGGACCAAAATTTAATGGGTATTTAGTGGGCGGGCAGATGTGGAGCAGGCGGATGCGGGACTGGTAAGGTTTCAAATCTATCACCCGCCCACTACCCACTAAAGTTATACCCATCTCTGCCCCAATTGGAGTGGGTACGGTGCGAAATCCACGATATTGTACCCGTTTGTCATCCCTAACGGCAACCTTAATATACGGCTAAGAAAATACACTATCGAAAATGTTAATATCTTTTTAATATTTTCGATAAAACGCTACCTAAAACATTATTTTTCTACTATAAATATTAATATTGGGCACTACCTAAAATATTTAACATTTATAATAAACGTTACCTAAAACATTATTTTTTTACTGAAAATGTTTATATTGAGTGCTACATAAAATGTTATTTTTTATCAGTAATTATATAACAAAATTAACATTTATGGTAAAAAAATAATATTTTAGATATAAAGGTTGTCCCTTGTTCCCATATGTAATGGGGGTAAGGAGAGGTAAAATAGTAGGTTTCCCTCAACACTAAGTTAATAGCAGCTTCCGTAGGAGACCTCCGAATTATGAAATGACCATCCAGCTCAGTTGATAGAGCATAAGATTCTTAACCTTGAGGTCGTGGGATCGAGTCCCATGGAGGGCATTTCATAATTTAGAGGTCTCTTACGGAAGTTGCTCTCAACCTAATGTTGAGGACAACCTACTATCTTACCTCCCCTTATCCCATTACATATGGGAACAAGGGACAACCAATATTTAAATATAATTTTATCAAAATTATTAAAAATATATATTAATATTACCTGTACCACCTTTCCTTACCTGTCGTACAACAATACCGGTCAAAAACCCTATTTAACAAAAAGGCTTTACAGCAGCAACAAAAGCAAACCCTTTTTCTCTCTATTTCCATCTTCTTCCCGCCTCTTATCAGCTTTGGGCTTTCCACTTATGTTTAATCCCTTCAATCTGGCCATTTTGAATTGAATACCAAACAGAAAGTCCATGAAATGCGTTTGAGGGATGCAGAAACTTATAAGAAGAAGCCCTTCTGCCCCTCCCCTTCTTTGCACCTCTTCCCTTACACCCTCTCTGCCTTTGCTTTCCCTTTCTCTTCCTTTGACCTCTGCTGCTGCTTCTACTACTAATACTACTTCCTTAAAAATGCCCAAAGCCACTCTCCCAGGCTGCGGCTCCGCCCTCGCCGCCTCTCTTACCAATAAAAACCCTTTTCTCTCCCGGCGGTTCTACACCAATGCTAGTTGTAATTACCAGCCCCGTTTAAGTACAAGGATCACTCTACGGGCTTGGCCCGGTAGAGTTGATGTCCGAACGGCTTGGCTCCATTCGAGTGGGATGGGGGAGCAGTTAAATCCGATTGAAAGGACCAAGGGTTTGAGTGAAAGTGAAGGTAAAGAAGAGGAAGATAAACTGATAAGGTTAAATAGAAGGCAAAAGGGCTCTGGGGTTTTGGCGGGGAGTCCGGATTTGTTGACGATCCCTGGTGTGGGACCTAGGAATTTGAGGAAGCTTGTTGCCAACGGGATTCAAGGTGTTGCTGAGCTCAAGCAATTGTACAAGGATAAGGTTTTTCTCTTTCTTTTTCCTCAGGAATTTGTTATTGTATGCGGAAAGTTGATTGAATTGTTTACATGAAGTTTAGTTTAGTTTTTTTTTGGGTATCCTGGTTTTAATGTGATTGTTTTGTTTTCTGTTTTTCATTCTGGTGATGTTGAGACTGGGATAAACAGTGGTTTTGGTTTCATTAAAGTTCATTTAGTTGGAGTGTTTAGTTTTTTTAAATATGTTATTTCCCCTGTTTTTCTAGAGATTGTTGGAGCTGAATGATTTTGTTGGTTATTTTATATTGCCATATTGTTTCCTTTTTCTTATTTGCTGCTTTAAGTATCGCCGGCAATGGGTTGTCATTTTCTTCTTTGCATCATTGTGTTGGCTCATGTCTCTACTACACATACAACTCTTTCTAGCTTTCAAGCTTTTCTTCCCAGAGTATATAGTTGTTGTACAAAATAGGTGGCTGCTGGTGTAATGTGTTTTTTAATAACATGTTTCCAGTATTAAGAGCAAACATAAAGAAGCTATGTTGTTTTATGTAAGTAATTTCCAGGTATTCCTTTCACACTAAGAAATGAATTTTGCATTCTCATTTTCCAGGACCAAAATGTGCTTAAGTTTAGATTGTCATATTTAGAGTGTCCAACTCCTTTGCATCACTTACCGGTATGTCCACCACAATTTGTGGATGGTTTCTACATATGTCGTGTTGATTATGGGTGTACTGGAAAGTATAATGGATTGAAAAGTGAATGAAGGAAGAAGCCCCATCTGTATATGACTGTGTATAAAACGGTCCAAATGGTTGTTATGACTTATGACTCTCTAAAGTTAAGGAACAGGAATTTTAAGAACATGTGCATACTAGTGTTTTTATTGGCATGGATGAAACCACTTTTGTGATACTTTGGTTTGATTGTTTCTTAAGCCTTACCCTTTTTTTTGGCAGTTTTTTGGAAAGGCTAGTCAGAAGATGGTTGAGTATTTACAAAATTCTGTTGGGATTATCCACAGAAACCACGCTGAGAGTATAACAACTTTTATCAAGGAGAGTGTGGATGAAGAACTGAAGGATTCAAACTCAGATACAAAGGTAGCTGCAAAGAAACGGTTGACATTCTGTGTTGAAGGGAATATCAGTGTTGGAAAGACAACATTTCTTCAAAGAATAGCTAATGAAACATTGGAGCTGCGTGATCTTGTTGAGATTGTTCCAGAACCTATTGATAAGTGGCAGAATGTTGGGCCTGACCATTTCAACATATTAGATGCATTTTACGCTGAACCACAGAGGTATGCCTATACCTTTCAAAATTATGTCTTTGTCACAAGGGTTATGCAGGAGAGAGAGTCATCTGGGGGACTTAAGCCGCTCAGGTTAATGGAAAGGAGCGTTTTCAGTGACAGAATGGTTAGCATTGAATAGTTTCTTCTCATTTTCTTTTTATTTTTTCCCTGCATGTTATTATTCTGTGTTGTCCTCTTCTGCATTTCAAGAAGTTTTCTTTAATCTATGTTTTTATATTGAGGTTTGACCCAGTATGGAAACAAAGGATCTGAGAAGTTCCTATTTTTCTGTTCAACAATAACCAAAGTCATCAGATTCGAATCCTTGCAGTTCTCTCTTTTCTCCATTGTTTTGTTTTCCAATCAAGAGGAAGAAAGTTGACCTAAGAGTTTCTAAACTGATATCTTTTTCTTTTCTTTTTTTCCTAAGAAAGCCCTGACCCTACGAGTGTCAAGGCTGACAACTTTATCTATTTTTACTTCATTAAGGTGTTCGTACGAGCTGTTCATGAAGCAAATTGGATGAATGAAATGGAGATCAGCATTTATGACTCGTGGTTTGATCCAGTTGTATCATGCTTGCCGGGCCTTATTCCCGATGCTTTTATCTATCTAAGGGCAAGTCCTGATACATGCCATAAGAGGATGATGCTGCGTAAAAGAGAAGAAGAGGGTGGAGTGAGCCTAGATTATCTCCGTGACTTGCATGAAAAGCACGAGAGTTGGCTTTTACCTTTTGAAAGCGGAAATCATGGAGTACTTTCTGTTAGTAAGTTACCCGTTCACGTGGATAGCTCTTTGCATCCTGATATCAGAGATAGGGTGTTCTTTTTAGAGGGTAATCATATGCATTCTAGCATTCAAAAGGTATGATGGTTTCCTTATTGTCTTATTTAGATTGCTTTCCTATTTTCTACTGCATCTTATGCTCTTGTTTATGAACAGGTTCCTGCTTTGGTGCTTGACTGTGAACCCAACATTGATTTCAGCAGAGATATTGAAGCAAAGAGACAGTAAGACAAACTTTACCTTCAATTTTCGTTATATTCGCTTAAAAGATAACAATTAACTGAATATTATATCAACAATTTTGAAAGCTTTATTGATGGGTATATATATCCTTTACTAGTTAAAGTGTGGTATATATTTGAGGAAGACTAATGGGGCGGGAAGGATTTGAATCTTAACCTCAACCTTCTTAAAAAGGAATGAAAATCAATGGGTCAAGCATGGTTTGAATATCAAATGAGCTTTATCAGTTATCCAATAAATAGCAGAGGTTCTTCAAAGGCAAATGACTGATTTCTAATTTGTTTCATATCCTGATCCTGATGCTATTAAGAATGATGCTTTATTTTGCATTTTCTTTTTCTTTTAATGAAAAGGTTGGAACCTATACACTAGTGAGTGAGAGACCATTTTTGGGAGCATGCTTTACAAAATAAGCTTCTGTTGATCGTATCATATTTAAGAGCATCTAGGCTTCTATTGTTTATCAAATCAATACAATGAAAATAGATTTGAATAGTGTTCTGAAATGTCAAAGTTCTAGAGTTTCTTCTTACACGTGCTTCAGTCTTTAATTGGAAAGTTCATACATTCAATCTGCCTTTTGATTTAGTTATTTCTGAACTGGCTTTGGTGAAGGTATGCACGTCAAGTTTCGGAGTTCTTCGAATTTGTAAAGAAAAAGAATGAATTCTCATCTACTAAAGCAGGTGAAGAAGGCCAAGGGAGCAGTCCACCTCAGCTATTACTGCCTCATACAGGTGGATTATGGGTACCGGACGGAAAACATTTCCCAGATGCTGCTCTAAAATCTCTAGAATTCCGGCGAGCCATGTCCTACATGTCAGCGTCAGGCTAGTCGGATGGCCCATTTTTCTCGTTATTTGGGTCTGGAGGTTCTGTTATCTGACTCTTGGTTGCAGGCCTCGTGTAGAAATGTTTTTTAACCATTAACCTTTAGGAATGTAGAAATGTTGTTGAATGCTTGGACAATTTTACCGTCTACTGTGAACCCACCAGAAGTTCTATGTTCATAGGAATTTTTCTTCAAATGCATTTGGTGGTAGGTGGCGTAACAGATTCTGCTGGAATAGTGCTTTCCAATGGTAGTTTCGATTCTAATGAAATGATAAAATAGAACAGAGAATAGCCTGCATTTCCAGGTATATTTCCTCAACATATCTTTTCAAGAGAAGCATTAATCACCTTGCATTGGATCTCTTAGGGGTGCTTGCTTACCGAGCGAGTCAGTAATGAATTGAGCTGTGCTCGTTAAAAGGGAGTTTAGTTTGGTTGCTCAATTTCTAGAGAAGCCACCAAAGTTCAGAGTCTTGCATAAAACGAAGATATTGTTTGAACACCGGAAAAAATCATTTATAATTATAATTTATGGAATAATGTGACACATTAAAATTTGGATAATAAATTCAGGTAAGATTTTGAATGCTTTTTCTGATTCTGGGAGTTTTTGCTTTCTAAATCAAATTTTAACCAATTTAAACGAGATTTCAGACGTGTCACCTGTAAAATGATGAAATCAGATTCTCAAAAGTTAATTTCGGTTTTTGATTCATTTTCAACTCATTTTGATCTTGTTAAGAAGTTTCTAATTATGTTTTTTTTTATGTAACCATCGGTATATGATCTTTTAATTGATGACCCGGATCGAATATTATAGAGTCAAAGACAACCCTGTTAACCCAGTTTACTCCGCTCGTAAATGTCATTATTCAAACATATGATATTACTTAAGGATATAATGTCTCATCTTATTAGATCAATTGGTTATTGGTAGTTTCTAAACACAAAATCAAAGATTTAATAATTTCTTCTAAATGAATTTGGAGTGATTTTTTTTAAAATAATTACAATATAAATTTTAGATGTTAGTATTGAACCCAATCATCTTTAAATGATTAATAAAGATGTTTAGAATGATTTTTGATCTCCGGAATTAAGATTTAATTATTGGATCAATTATTTCTCTTAAACTAGACGATATTTTTGTCTAAAAGAAGAGCGTGTAGATCTATAATTTTGTATTTATTTTTCTAACAATCATATTCTATGATGTTTGATGTGTTTGTAAAATCTTGGGATATGTGGAAACCTTTTTCGAGCAAACTAAAAGGAAAGGAGAAGCTAATCTAGGTTTCCTACAAGAGAAAACTATTTGGTGAGTTTCTAAGTGTAAACACAATTCGTTGAATCAATGGGGAGCTTAGGACAATCTAAGCTTCTTCTTTTTATCTTAGTTGCTTAATATTTGTAAAACAATGCATATGTGTTGTGTAATGTGCATCTTGATATTACATGGCAATGAGTACTCCACGTTAATTTATTGGTTTTATGTACACACGTGATTCTATATGATAGTGGCTTAATGAGTATAAATACAGTGGCACTTGTAAGTACATGTGCAAGTGATATAGAGACATCAACATATATGATAGTTATGAACAATGAATTGTGCATCAAAACAATAAATAATGATTGAATATGATGTATTGAATTTTATGTTATTCTTGAGAGTATTGGATATAGTTGACATGCCATAAGATTTGAGTACTCTCGTACGGTATTAATTTTACATATTAAAACTTGGAGACATAATGGAATGGTAAGGGGATGATGAGCAACTACTCCATTCATGAGACATGTTTGATGTGTTGGAAAGTGTTAGCATCATGCAACTACACATGTAATCTTTTAAGCATGTAAAATGGATTTTGAACTTATTTTGAGGGCAATGTGGGCTCTGAAAAGGGGCTAGGCCATCAATCTGATGCGCTCAAAATTATGCTACACAACAAAAACTAATGAAATGGAATGCTAAAACCTTAATTCCTCAATGGTATGCAGCCATATCTTATTTGCAAGACAAAGCAGACAATCTTAAAATGAAAGCAAAAACAAATTCCAATCCAAGTTTTTACAATTCCTGAAAGTCTCTCATTGACAAGGGAATATAATATCATTATTGGATCCTATTCTCACCAAATTACAATGACCCTTTTATGAATTCCGGCCAACAGAATCAACACGTATCCAAAGAATCAATAAAAAAAGAACAACAAAAACAAATATGGGGATCACCACTCTTGTGTATCTACAGTTATTCCAACATCTTTTGCTTACCTTACTGGTACATGCCAACTGAGAGCAACAATGGCGCATCCGACGATGTCTTCATCTTCCACCAAATGCGCTGCGGATCTTATGCAATTTCTGGAAAACTTTTCTTCATGTAATTCGACTCCCCTTCCCTTTCTTTTTATTCTTTTCCTGTATTTAGTCACAGTTCAAACCACACACTTCTAAAACAATATCTCCTTTTGAAACAAAGGGATTGACTCGAGCCCATAACAGGGAGAAAATCGAAGCTAAAAGTATTGACCAAACCACAATGATAGTGGGAAGCCTGTCTTGTTTCCCCATCATCCCTTTGAGGAACGGGTAGAGGTGAACGATGACCCAGATCGCAAAGAACAGTCTACCGAATAGAGGTCCCCAGGAGTCGTATCCATTAGAGATGGCATCTGAAATCCCAACTATGACTCCAATTATGTTGATGATCAACAGCGTCATGGGAGGAATCAACAATGATGTCCACTTGAATAAGTATAGCTCAGAAAATTCTCCATCATCTCCTCCTTTCGAGGTAACTGTGAAGTTTGTGTTAACACCAGCTAAAACCTTGAGCAGACCCTGGAAGAGAGCAAACAGGTGTGACGAAACACCACCGATCACCCAGAACTGCTCATTTCTCCACCAGTCATGTATTCCAACACCTCCCCACTGCATTTCGAGGATGCTAGTCACAGCAATGACTACGAAGAGAGACATGAAAAGAAGACTGGCATAATTGCTAATCTGCAGAAGGAAAAATCAGAATCAAGCCAGATTAAGTGCATATCCAGTTTTTGTAATTCCCACAGTATAACTAGTGCTATTGTATCCCCATCCAAAAGAATAAAAGAAAGGGAAAGAAAATAAAATCTGCCGTATGAGCTTTCCTTTGGCTTAGTAAAAGCATGTTAATGATGAGCAGTCATATTATCACCCATAAAACAAGTTCTAAAATTTACTATTTACTAGTCTGAGCTGATTGCACGTTAGAATGACATGCCAATCTGAATTACCTCGGGGACGATAAACTTTCCAGTAAGGAGACAGACAGCTGGCAGTGTACAATAAATAAGCAGTGGAATTGATGTCAAAGGGTACACAACAGAGGCTATGTAAGAAAAGCGCTCCAAGGGTTTCAGTCCACAGCCATAGCCATACCATATTGGGCAATGCCTGCTCAAGAAAATTTCAACAGATCCCAGAGCCCAACGAAGAACCTGGTGCAAACGATCTGAGAGGTTAATGGGAGCTGAACCCTTAAATGCAGGCCTTTTGGGAATGCAGTACACTGATCGCCAGCCATGGCAGTGCATCTTGAAGCCTGTTAATATATCCTCTGTAACAGAGCCATATATCCATCCAACCTGGATGAAGATCAGCATTGATGAGCATCACTACAGAATGCAATAATTCAAAGGGGAAAAAAAAGAAAATTTCGAAAGACAAATTAATTTATTAAGTTCAAAATGGTTTCCGCATACTTCTTTTCCCCAATCTGATTTATCTTCATAACCGCAGCTGATGACATGGATGGCTTCTTTCAAAAGTGATGCAGTTGTTGCTCCTTTTGGAACTCCTCCGTCCTCCATAAGTGTTGAAGCAATGAAAACAGGTGATTGACCAAATTTCTTCTCAAACTTGATTTGCGGCGTAAGGGATGACTTCTCATTGTCTATATCTGCAATATAATATGATGGCAATACAAGTAATAAGAGTTTAACATTAGTCTATTCAAGCAAAAGAGCATGTATCTGAAACAATAAAGGGAATAGATCTTGGTCAAAAATATATATCACGAAACATCAATCCCAACTTAGATGGGACAAAGAGTATGCAAAGGAGACCAGTCCTGTATAATTTATAGTTACTACTTAACAGATATTACATGCCATGAGAAAAATCCATTTTGCAGATGCATACTAGAAACCAATTGGAAAACAAACCTTCAATTCCTTCCTCAATATTCTCCAGTGCATATATCTGCTTTGTAACTTCTTTGTTGTTTTTCTTCTTGTCATTGGACTTTGATTTCCTATTCTTCTTTTTAGATCGGAAACAGCAGCAACAGCACCATTTTGGCAAACAATTGCATGTTCTTCTTGGAGGCTTCTTCTTGACAGGAGCATCATACCCATAGAGTGCCTGCCTCCTGAACACACATCCAGTTCCGACGTAAATAGGACCTTGAATCCCATCCAGTCCTTTCATGTTGATCTGTTTTCACAAAAATAAAAAATATATATCATCTTTTACTTCCAGGAAGAAACGAGTGTTTGCAAGTCTAACATTAAATTTTACCAAAACCTATACTTACATCAAAAAATACAACATTGCGATTTGAGTATCTATCATGTCGATCAATGCCATCGAATCTTTGGGGAAATTGGACATAGCAGATATTCTTTCCTGAAATAGGGTCCATCATGAAGCACATAGCTTCACGAAGAGCCTTGCTGTTGTTTATATAGTGATCACAATCGACGTTCAGTAGGAAAGGAGCATTGGAGATGATAGCAGAAACTCGCACCTTCATTTATCGGCCAAAAGTTCTCAACAATTAGATTAATCAAACGACAGACAGAACAGATGAAATGTCAAACTTAGATTTTATTGTGTTTGCATGCTTGAGATAAGAAAGAGAGGCACACCAATGAGTTCATCGCTCCAGCCTTTTTGTGGTGATCAAAACCTGGTCTCTTCTCACGAGAAACATAAATCAGACGAGGTAATTCATTCCCTTCAATATCACGAACGCCGTCATGACCAAGGAAAACCTATAGCAAAGAATATCAAATTTTTACAAATGTTTATATGCATGCTGGCATAAGTGTGGGAATCAGGTAGCATCTGAACCATATCTCAAATAGCACATAAAGAAAACACCTCACCTGGATCATTCCAGGATGATCCCTGACATTG